AAAAAGGGCCCCGGGGGAACCCGGTGGGCGCCTGGGCGGGGGTTCCCCCCCTTTTTTTCGGGGGGGCATTGGGGGGAAATTTTGTTTCCGCCCCCAAGTTGGGAAGTCCCTGGCCCCCTTTTTCGGGATAAAATCCCCCCAAAGCCGGCCCCCCCGTTTGTTTGTCTTTTTTTTTTCCCTTTGGGCCCCCCCCCCCCCCCCCCCCCCCTCCCCCCACCGGGCAAGAGCCCTCAAGTGCAACACGACTCCATCCTTTGGGTGAGAGACTCCGTGTCTACGCCCCCGTTTCGGCCCCCGTTCAGTCTCAGCGTCTCTCCGGCACCCGCCCCATCGGTGGCAGCCTGGCTTGCTTCCAGCCGGGTCTTAACCTGACAAAACAAAATCAGTCCACCGGTTGGAATGCTGCATCATCTACGTCCGGTGAAACTCGCACTTTTGCGAGATCGGTGAGTGGATACTGTAATACGACTAGTAGATCTCTGCAGCACCATGCACTAAACTGTGCGAGATGTGGCGCGTGGCAGGCTGGGATGTAGATGAAACAGTTGACACAGCAATCTAGGGGAAAAACTGAAGCCGGCAAATCCGATGGGGATACGGCATCTTGTATGACACAGTCATTTAGGGAAAAAACTGAAGCCTTCAAATCCGATGGGGATACGGCATCTTGTCAAGGGGGTGACATGAAAAGCGTGTCGGTGTTATCTCCATGGTGTACCTACCCGCTAGACCAGCGTTCTGCCGAATCGACGATGGTGGCAAACCTCGCCATAGGGTCAATCGGCGCGGCAACGCATCCAACAGAGTACCGTGGGGTGCGTGAGACACTAAACTCCCTGGGCTGACGGTCAAAAGCTCGACTTCCACGATGAACGTTCCAAAATAACATGATGCGTTGTCGTAGTCATAGGATGAGACGGTTCCAACCCCGCCAATTGTGAGCACCATAGCTGTTTTAGGTGCAGAGCGTTGCAGGGGCGTGGTATCTTTCGTATGCAATCTGCGGCAGTTGGAAGATTCGAGTTCCCAGCAACTTTTCCTGCAGCTCTCAGCAGCAAAAACGACAAACAGGAGATCAGGGTCTTGTACCAGCATTCTCAAGCTCAAGAGCCCGCGAACCGTCCGAGTGGTAGTACCTAATGCTGTATCTCACTTCGACACTACAAATATTGGATCTTCAATAGTGGTAGAGAGGACAGAAAGAAAAAAACACCCCAGCTGAGACAAGTGTTGCATCTCAAGTGCTCCACACCAAGGGCAAAGCGGATACAAGCAAGGTGCGACGTCGTGGTGATAAAGGTACCGACAGATAGATCTCACTGCTGTCATGCCTTACAATCTACGGCGTTCGATCCGTCGCCAATTTCCTCGGCAAAGCAAACGTGAGCTATGGTACAGGAGAGGACTTGGAGAGGTGGTAAACTTGTATTATAGTACTTTCGGTGGGTCGGTGCCGTGCAACAGCAGCACAGCAGTAACAGTCCGGACAGACGCCTGATCCTCGTTCCCCCCTGTTTTCGTGTGTGTGGTCAATCAATCAAACCTCGTAGGCTCCGCATCACATCGTTTTAAGCTTGATGATCTATCGATCGCATGACTCTTTTGCTGCTTGAAAGGTCGTCTGTTTTGTCGAAGGATATACAACAGCACACACCACAGGCTTAACGACAACAAACACGGCTCAAACGTACTACCATCAGGCACGGTTGCACGTCCAATCTCTCACAACCATCCCGTGTAATCTTATGCCTGCATGTTCCATCCGCCACCTACCCGCGAAGCTAAGTTGCCGAAGGTCTCCTCGACGTTCAGGTTTTCCTTTGCGCTGGTTTCCATGTACGGGACCCCCAGTTCCGCCGCTAGTTGTTCGCCTTCCTCCCTTGCCACCTCTCGCCCCTGTAAGTCGCACTTGTTGCCACAAATAACCACGTCCGACCCTCTTTTCCCTTGCTGATAACACCACAACCGCAGGGTAAACCAAGCAGCGGCAGCAGCAGCGGCAGCAGCAGCAGCAGCAGCAGCAGGAGGAGCAAATCGGGCATTGGCACACCGACAAACCAAACAACCACGGCATCAAATGGCACGGAGAGGGAGAACGACATCCAATATCAGCAACAGATTTCGTGAGGAACACAGCAGCAACAGAGCAGCAGCATTCGACCGTAGTCAACGGGAAGACATACCGTTACGAATCGACAGGACCCACCCCCAAACCAACACGGTGCCTCCGCCATTTTTCGAATTGGGCTCCTGATTCCTACCGGGCCCCGCTGCGAGCGCCATCGCATTTTCGAAAATAAAACTTGGACATGTGCTCACACGCGCGAGCCAACGCACACAGCTAAGCCAATCCCCCGTCAAAGAGTCCCACCTTCCAGGAGCTCATATTGTTGGTAGTGTTGGGTCACCCCATCACGACGTACATAAGATAGGCAGATGAGGTCCTAGCCAACCTCAACTTGAAGACATGTGGAAGTGTACAACCAGTTGTCGAAGCACGGCACGGCGTCAACGTGTCTCTCACTACGGATACAACAAGCACGCATTCATCGGTTAGCGACAGGTATTGACCGAACTCTTTGCCAGCATGAGTTATTGATCAACCGAAAAGGTCTTGAATAGCTGGATGAATGGCCTCTTGCCAAAATATCTAGTTCAGCCTTTACCGCACCTTTGTAATCTAAAGACGAGACACTAGTCAGAGAGTGTACAGCATTCGACAACGAACAGGACCGTACACACACGGGAACAAGAACAAGACAAGAATAACGAGGAGTGGCCGAAATTCACCTCGACGATGTCCTTCATCCAAGTCGATACGCTCTCGAACGATTGCCGGTTCGATACGTCGTATACAAGCACAAACCCCTCGGCGCGCTTGAAGAAGCTCGTCGTCAGCGAGTGAAACCTCTCCTGCCCTGCCGTGTCCCAGATCTGCGTAGAAATTCCAAGATCGGAAATGATTATCCGCGATACCAAGAATGGGGATCAGTGTCAAGGGGGGCAGGTCGAGAAGGATGGATTCAACCAACAAACCGGTTACGTGTTTCGTTCATGATAGTGTGTTGAGGGGGAGGCGTGCTGAAAATCACACACGTATGACTCCAAGGGGCCACCAGACAAAACTGATGTAACGAAGGGCTTAAAGCTTTTCGTCCAAGAACAGCAGCATCACAGAACGCACACCTCGCAGAGAACCATCCCACACAGACCAACATGGACAACGACCCAGGGTAGGTCGAGCCCCCAGGACCACGTGTATACATACATACTCCGCAGCAACAAACTCGGGGCAGGTGTTGGAGTTGCTGAGGATTCCTGTAAGTTTTGGCCCGGCTCCTGCCTCAAGATATTTATTTCAGGGCAGCAGTTGCAAACTCGGAAGGGCCGTCGAGGAACTTTTAGAAAATACATGACACCAAAAGGGCCACCCACCCGACAGGCCGACAGGTGCCAAAATTATTTTTCCAAGTCCGTGTATTCAGCTGGTTTCTTTCGTGTGTGAAATTGTCCATGAATTGTTGGCTGACTCGACGACAACGAGGTTGGTTTTGGAGGGCCCCGACGTATTGTACAAACGACACCGCCACCCCAAGGCAATTTTTTTGACGTTTGATGGTCTCGATCCCATGCAGTACGCACATGACGCAACATGACTGACGACAAGTCGTCGCGCAACCCTTCCACAACAGGCAGAAACAGACAGCAGCAGTGGTGTTACTTCTCGCTTTTCGGGAACAGTACTGCTGTAGTTCCGATGCGACTGCTGCTGTGTAGTGATGCCTCTTGCAACAGCTTAAAGTAACGTGACTACTGGTGTGTGTGGGCTAGTGGGAACTACCCTCCCCTCCCCACGAGGTCAACGTTCGGCTGCCGACATGGCCCAAAATGGTCCACACCACCGATCCCAGCGGGTGTTGGAATGTGCAAGTCGGGTGAAATCTTAGTAGATCATGAGGCTGAGGCTTTCACCCGACCGAGGGACATATCAGCCGCCGCCCCGCCCCCACCACGGTAATTTTACAGGAGGGTTATGATTTTCTCGCTGGATGATTTTTCTTTTTTCGGGGCACATTCGGATTGTCTCATCCGTCTTGTCGGCAACACGTGTAGCACTACATTGTGCATCACGAGCCAAGAATTCTCCATCGTGACGGACCAATCACCTCTCGTCGGCTTTACTCTTCTGTCCTGTTCTTCAGACGAGTATGTAGAACAAACAAGAATGTCAGATTCTACTGTTGAGCGCTCTGTCTGTCTTTCTCTCTCTCAAACAACTAAGCTGTTCGTTTTCCATGCCAAATCGATTCGATTCTCGATTTTGTAGATTAGAGCATCTACATCTATAATAGTATATCATGCAGTTGTTCTTAGGATAGCTTTGTTGGGGTCGACGCATTCTCCGGCCACGCCTCCCAGGGACTATATACTAGTCTAATGATAAAACCAAAGGCCAGCTGAGCGGAGACAGCAGTTACGCAGCTACAGCAGTAGTGCGCTTGTTCGCACCACATTCTGCCTCAAACAATTGGAAAATAAGACCTCCTGTGCGAACTTCCTTCAGTGTGTGACCCGGCTGATGCGTGGTATACACCGAAAGGTCGAACGGTGTGCAGGCGCCAGAACTACTGCTGTACGTAGATGGGACACACACACGCCTTCAGTTGCACACACGACTGACGACTACCGGCGGCCGTCAAGGAGGAGAAAAACTGAGAAAGCTTGCTTGCGTTTAACGGCGACAACGAACGGTAAGGCACTCGGAATTGATTTATTCGCCAATGCCTCGAATCTAAAGGAAGCATGCCTTGATGATACGCTTTTGAGCAGGAAGGGTCGGTCGGGTCGGCCGCCTATCTACGAGAACTATTTTAGTGGAACTAAAGGAAATATAGGCGTAATTTTCGGATATTTTCTCTCTGGTCGCCGTTTAGGACAGCTGGTGGGAAAGAACAATTAAACAAGGACGCTTTTTCTTCTCATTTCGATGCTTGGCCTTCGTGGGTTGAGCCATGTTGGCCGTGGTCTTTGGCTCGAAAGGTCAACAGTAGCCGCACCGGCAGCGTCACCCGTCCGAACGTTGACTATTTCGATGCCCAATGCCAGCATGTCCTTCCGCACGAAAGACCGACGGCTACTCTGCCCTGGAAAATGTTCTTCCGGTACCTGGATCTTTCACTACGCTGCTGTGAGAACTTCCAGCGAGGATGTTTTTTTTTTTTCGTGCTGTGAAGAGCTAGCTTCGAGGGCGCGCTGCTTTTCACGGCGACGGGCAGGCAGCCAGATTGCCGCCGAGCTCCTCAGGCCTTGACGACAAAGAAAGCAAGCAAGCACTACAGCAGCACTCCACAATGGCGTAGAGAAGCACAGGGACGCTCTCACGCTTCACCATACTGATTGTTAGGGAAGGCCGCAGACCAACTCTTCTTGCGGAACAGCCAGGGTGTGTTGGCGGAAAACTGTGCTGCCGGAAACCCGAACAAAGTATTGTACAAGTACTCGTTACAATATCATTGACCAAAAGAGTATGAAATCTGTGGAACTTGCATTGCGCGATGGAAACTGCGTGGTGTGTGTGCCGAAAACGGTATGAAGATTGATGCACGAGAATAAACACCACCAACCCATAATGGCTACAATAGCGATGGGGGCGGCATGTGGAATAAAAAGAGGACCCTTGTACTACGAACAATGTGCGATTGGGTGTCTTTTGGTTCTGTCCTCTCCCGCTCATCAAACGTACTTTTGTACTGAAATAAAGGGCGTGATGAGCCATAACGAGGGCGGGGTTCGCCGGCAGAAACTAGACTCTAGATGGACTTACGACTGGGAGGAGCAGCAGCACGCCTACAACATTCCGCCCTGGGCACAGCAGACGCAGAGCAAGGTGTTGCCAGGACTCAACAAAAAGGACTTTTTTTGCATCACGTTGCCTCACCTGAAGTTTGACCTGGCGCCCGTCCAACTCCAACAGGCGGTCGCTGTAGTCGACCCCTATGGTCGTCGTGAAACGAAGGTTAAACCCTCGCTTGTCGTACCGCAGCACCAAAGAAGTCTTCCCCACAGAGCTGTCCCCTATCATTAGGATCCGGATCAGCAGAGGCGTGGGCTTTCCAGCGCCTCCTACTGCTGGTGCGCCAAGGCCATTCATGACAAAGAAGCAATACTATTCAGTCCCTGAATAAACCCGCCGCCTAGCAGCCGCCGTGTAGGGACGGACTCCTCCCGTAAGTTGGAAGCGTTTGAGGCGTTCTTTCTCTCCCCTGCCTTCTGCTCTCCGGCCACGCCCCTTCCCCGAAACCAAGCGCAGCAGCGAGAGTGAGTGCGAGGCACACGCGTGCTCAGCGGCTAGCCCAGTGTCACGCGGCCACGGGAGACAGAAAAAAAAAAGAAGGCTCTCGGCCAGCGGCGGGTTGTCCACCCCACAGACAGGCTTGCTTCTTCCCCTGTGATCCTTTTCCGTACTTATTCTTGACACACACACACACGCTCCACTCCTTCGCACACACGCACCAAGCACACAGGCCAACAATGTGGACTGCAACTTCGCTTTTGAAAGGCAGGTTAACGCCGCAAGCTACTGCCAACTGCACGCTGCAGCACGTGGAGCCCAAGCACGGCGGTACGGTCCCTCCAAAAAAACTGGCTCCTCAGACGTTGAAGAGCTGTTGATTCGATAACCTGTTGCTTGCTGCTTGCTGCCCAACAAACCGCGCCAAAAAAAAAAAATGCCCCAGACAGGGCAGGGCCGGACGGGATCCGTCGTAATTCATACTGCGTAACCCCGAAAAATGCGCCACACGCCACCAACAAAGACTACATCTGCCATGGTTATTTATAGTCATAGTCTTTGCACGCCACACGGATCAAATGTCGCTGCAGGCACACAGGTGATGGACCCGGCAGCCGGCACCGAGCAGTGCATGGTCGAACTCCAAACTGCTGGCGTGAAAGAAGGCATGGGGGGAAACAAGGGACTGGCGGCGGTGGAGACAACGAACTGCTGTAGACCTTTGGTTCCCAAGCTCTAGCTTGGGTCTCAGTCGATCAAAAGTCTTTTTTTTCCGTCTGTGGAGTTTTCAGTAGCATAGCGGACCCCTTGCCCGACCGGGTCGAAAATGCCGATCTCAGCCCACACTGCGAACCTCCGAGAACTACCAGCAGTTCTGGGTAGCTGAGACGATTTCAAGACCTCTCACAGTCGTTTGAGCAGCTATCGTTTGCTGTGGGTCGATAACCAGTGCCTCCGTCGACAAGAAGATCTGCGTTACATCGTCACATCGGAACGACCAGATCGTCACTTCGGAACGACCAGATTGGTTCAGCTTGTCGTTGAGGGTCCTCTTTTTATAGATACTTTTGTATAAGAGGCGGACCCCTTGCCCGTTTTATTGTTGTTGTTGATGTGCGGACGAGAGGACGAGAGTGGTAGGCAGGGATGGCTCTTGTTGTGCGGCAAGTTGCATTGATTGTTTGTTGTTAATGATGCGGACGAGAGGACTAGATAGAGTGTGGTAGGCGAAAGCAGTACGTACCGTGTTAAAGGGAGACAGACAGAGTGCCTACCGTGTGTACAAGGGGCAGACATAGTGGAACAGAGTATAGGGGTTGTGCGCGGTGAGGAGGAACGGTGTGCCTACCGTGTGTATAAGGGACGAGTGGAACAGACTATAGGGGTTGTGCGCGGTGAGGAGGAACGGCGTTCGAAGGCACATGCAATATGGGTCACAGATCTTTTCGTCACGGATCGTTTGCCTAGCCGCGTGGCCCCCTGGGCGAACTCCGCGCTCGCCCCCACATCGGTCACTTCCTCTCCCTCTACACTCCCTCTCATCCTCCGTTAGAAGCCCGGATTCTTCACACATTATGTCGCAGTCGATCAAAAGTCTTTTTTTTCCGTCTGTGGAGTTTTCAGTAGCATAGCGGACCCCTTGCCCGACCGGGTCGAAAATGCCGATCTCAGCCCACACTGCGAACCTCCGAGAACTACCAGCAGTTCTGGGTAGCTGAGACGATTTCAAGACCTCTCACAGTCGTTTGAGCAGCTATCGTTTGCTGTGGGTCGATAACCAGTGCCTCCGTCGACAAGAAGATCTGCGTTACATCGTCACATCGGAACGACCAGATCGTCACTTCGGAACGACCAGATTGGTTCACTTGTCGTTGAGGGTCCTCTTTTTATAGATACTTTTGTATAAGAGGCGGACCCCTTGCCCGTTTTATTGTTGTTGTTGATGTGCGGACGAGACAGAGGACTGCCGATCTCAGCCCACACTGCAAACCTCCGAGAACTACCAGCAGTTCTGGGTAGCTGAGACGATTTCAAGACCTCTCACAGTCGTTTGAGCAGCTTATCTCTCGCTGTGGGGCGAAAACCAGTTTCGACAAAAGGATCTCATTGGAACGACCAGATTATTATTAGTTCGGGGTCCTCCTTTTATAGAGTCGTCTTCTTTTTTTTCGCATACGCGTACCACATTGAAAATACAGGTGACGCTATGATTAATCCATTGCTAATCTGTCTCAGACTCTTTTCTATTCCCAAGCTCTAGCTTGGTTCCCAAGCTCTAGCTTGGGTCTCAGTCGATCAAAAGTCTTTTTTTTCCGTCTGTGGAGTTTTCAGTAGCATAGCGGACCCCTTGCCCGACCGGGTCGAAAAGGCCGATCTCAGCCCACACTGCGAACCTCCGAGAACTACCAGCAGTTCTGGGTAGCTGAGACGATTTCAAGACCTCTCACAGTCGTTTGAGCATCTATCGCTTGCTGTGGGGCGATAACCAGTTTCTCCGTCGACAAGAAGATCTGCGTTACATCGTCACATCGGAACGACCAGATTGGTTGACTTGTCGTTGAGGGTCCTCTTTTTATAGATCTTTTTGTATAAGAGTCGTCTTCATTTTTTTCGCCGCCCGCGCCAACCCTTCTTTTTACAGATCTTTTTATATAGAGTCGTCTTCTTTTTTTCGCCGCCCGCCCCAAGCCTTGCTTGCTTCTCTCGTGTCCCGCGCCAAGCCTTGCTTGCTGGCTACGCTTCTCTCGAGATGCTGACCGACCTCAGCACACAGCTGGACATTCTGTGTACATACAGCAGGAGCTGCTTTTGTTCTGTTGTTGCAACTTTCTGCATGGATGGCTCTTTTGTGGTGCGAAAATTAGCATTTATTGTTGTTGTTGATGTGCGGACGAGAGGACGAGAGTGGTAGGCAAAAAGCAGTACGTACCTGCAAATCTCCGGCAACTACCAGCAGTTCTGGGTAGCTGAGACGATTTCAAGACCTCTCACAGTCGTTTGAGCAGCTATCGCTCGCTGTGGGGCGATAACCAGTGATTTTGTGATTTTCTTCCTTAGTCTATAGTGACCGTTGTACACATGCGGTGGCTGCTGTTATGCTCGGAAGATGCTGCAAAGGTCATAAGGTTATCGTCTCTGTCGCTTGGGCTGCACGCCGTGCTCGCGTAGGAGATGCGCATTCCTCATTTTTTCTCTGTGCCGATATCCATGAAGAAAAGCAACGGCAGCACGGTTGAAGATACAGACAACAGACGGTCCGCCATACCCTTTTTTTTTTCTTCTCTTACATGCATGGATGGGTGGTAAAGCATCGCAAGCGTGTTGCTGCCTTACTTACCTTTAGTGTGCTGCGTAGTCGTAATTTGAGCGATAAGGGGTAGATGGCAGGACAACAATCTTATTTGCGTAGTGAGGTTTGACAACTGGTCGTTCGTGGAACGGTGCGCGTCTATCGCGACGGCAAGCGTATTGAGAAAATAGTTCGTCCGTGGTGCTTCTCGTCATCATTTTCTATTTCGTTGTCACTTCATACTTCATACCACAAGTGATGAAAGAGAGTCTCCACAGTTAGTTCGGAAACGGCGACTATATTTGGTTTGTTGCGTTTGTTGTTGCTGAGCACACATCGGATGTCGTCGTTCGTTACAGCCTGCGGTGGGCCACAGGGACGAGAGTGAGTGTCTTCGGTTAGGGTCTCGAGAGTTAATTAATGCCTTCTCTACGCTTTCTTCTGTTGATCTACGTAGTAGTAGCACCTGTCTCTCCTTCTCGCCTATTATCATCGCCGTTGGGGTCCCAACAACATCGAACGTCAACCGCAATCGTTTTTCTTCTTGCTGAGTAAGAGGCTATTTGTGTAGTACGTACCCGGCTGCTGTATGTGAGGCGATGGGCGCTGCCTCTTTACTTGAAGCAACGGGGGCATGGCCCCTATAATGTTTGCTGCATGCTGTGCTATGTGACAGCTTCCAGCGGTTCAGAGCGGCGACGGTGGTTTTCGTATGCTCTCTTTTGCCACCTCCCTGAAGCCTGTCGCGTCTGGCTCACTTGTCTTTGTCGTCCCTTCTTCTTTTTCTTTTTTTTCTTAACATAGTCTATATTTTATTTTTCCGCTTGCTTTTTGGGGTCCGCCGGTCATCCGCCCACCACCCATTATTAGTTCAGTTTTAAATGTTGTTGTTGTTGTTGTTGTTGTTGTCTTCGCATTAAAAACCGTTCAGATCTCTCTCTACCCAGTACCTTCATATGTGCGTACTGATCCAACACTTGACGCGGTCGATTCCCGTGGTCACAGGCTAACTTACCCTAAAGAGGTACGCTAAAACAAACTGGCCCCGAAAGGTCCGCAAGTCAATAAAAATCAACGACAGATATTCTTTGGAACGGGGTGTTTACTTGCCATCTCTATGCAAGTTTCACAATTAATTTTGAAGCTTTTCTGAAGCTAGTTGAAACAGTAGTGTCATCGTTCGATATCCGTTCGGTGAGGAATCAATCGCAAATCATGACCCGTCCCCGAGTTGTAGCAGCTTCCGCCTCCTGGGGCCGGCAAGAGTCGGCCTTCACTGCTGTACCTTGTCTGTTTCGCCATGGGAATGGCCGGTTCAAAGCGAAAGAGGGTCCTGCGTGCTGCGCGCCACCACCTTTTTTTTTTTGCGTTTGTTTGTTGTTGTGATTTTCTTCCTGAGTGACCGTTGTTGTACACAACATGCGGCTGCTGCTGTACACATACTTGCGGTTGCTGCAGTATATGCTCGGAATGTGCTGAAAAGAAAGGTCGTAAGGTTATCGTCTCTGTTTTTTTGGGCTGCACGCGTTGCTCGCGTAGGCGATGCGCGTCTCCTACTGTTTTCCAGTGTCGTTGTCGGCAGCACAGTCAGTTGAAGAGACAAACAACAACAGACGGTCCGCCTTGTTTTGTTTTGCTGCATGCATGGTTGGTATGCATCGGCACGCGTGTTGCTTCCTTGCCTTGAGTCTGCTGCGTAGTCGTAATTTGAGCGATAGGTAAGCTAGATGGCAGCACAATCTTAGATACTACGTAGTGAGGTATGATAACCAACAGCTCGTTCGTGCAGCGGTGCGCATCTATGGCGGACGGCAAGCGTATTGCGATAATAGTTCGTCCGTGGTGCTATGTAGTCGTGCTCTTTTTAGTTCTCACTTCCTACAACAAGATAGTAGTCCACAGCTCGCACACGGCGACTGACTATATTTGTTTGTTGTTGTGCTTGTTTGCTGTTGCTGAGCCGACATCGGATATCGCCGTTCGATACACAACGTGACATCATGTCTGACAGCCTGCGGCGGGCCAGAGGGACGAGAGTGAGTGTCTTCTCGACAGAGTCAATGCCTTCTCTTCTCGAGAGAGTCAATGCCTTGTCTTCTCTCCGCTCTCGTATTTTTGTCTACCTCTCTTTCTCTCTCTCTCGCCTTTCGCCGGTAGGGTCCCAACAACATCGAACGTCAACCAACCGCAGTCGTTTCGCTTTTTGCTGAGTAAGAGGCTACCCGTGCATCCGGCTGCTGCATGTGAAGCGATGGGCGTTATGCCAAGCAATGGACTTGGGCCCCTACCTAATATTTGC